ACACTCACATTCACACCTACGGACAATTTAGAATCACCAGCTAACCTATTAATTAATTTTTGGACCTTGTGGGAGGAAGCCAGAGAACCTGGAGAGAACCCACGCTGCACGGGGAGAACATGGAGACTCCCACTCGTGGGTGTCCTCACCGGGACGCGAACCGGCGACCTTCTTGCTGCGAGGCAACGATGCTAACCACCGAGACACCTTGCAGCATGATGGGACCTGTAAAGTAATATTTTGTTGAACAACCCTTTGAGGCAATCAAGTGTTTTCTGTAACTCTCAGTCAAACTTCTGCTCCTGATGACAGGTATTTGGATTTCACTGCTCATCAGCAAAGGGCTCTAATTTGTCCTGGACAGTTTTTTTTTTTTATTATTATTCTTTTCAACTGCAATTCAAAAGCAATGTCTTATTTCACTACATTTTAATTTAGCAAATTTTTATTTATTATTACTTTTTCCAGTTTCTAGTTATTTGAGTGACTGTTGTGAATTTTGCCTTTTCTTTAATGGAAGGGGATGGATAAATTTAAGGACGACTGTACCAACTCATGTGAAAGGAACGTTTTGCTGAGGTGCAGTTTTGCTTCTTTTGGGTCCTTTTAAACCTTATTTTGTCTTTGTTGTGTAAAATTGCGTCGTAAGGAGCAGAATAGTGCAACAAGTAGGGAAAAGTTCTCATTCTGTTTCTCTGAGTGTCTTCTGCAGATTCAGGTCACCGAATGAGACATCACATGACAGTGAAATCACTTGTACCTTCTCACTTAGCCTGTTATCCACACATAAATATTGACAGAGCTGCCAGTGTTAAAAATAAGTCATGTGGTCCGCAGAGAGTTTGTAAATGCAGGAACGGAGAAAGAGTCACACCTACATGCATTTAAGCATTTATATCAATCATCCGAGGCCGGTAAACAGGTACACAGGACCTCTTTTGTGAGTGTGATAGTTTTATAGTGCGGTGATTCTTGATAAAAAACTGATGACTAAAAAAAAAAGCTCAGCTTGCATTGGGATGCTGAATGAAGTTCTTTCTGAGTCTCTTAAGATTTCTTGTGGGTTTTATCTTCCTGGTTTGACCCGGTTGCAGAAGGCGTTACAGCAAAGGGTCGCGCAGCATGAAGTTTCACTCATCACAGTCATTTCTGTGCAATCGAGACCATCTTTGATTACAGTGAAGATGTTACTATTAGTGCTCTGCACAAATCTGCCATGCTCCCACTATCGGGTCTCAGCAGGAATGCAGACACATCTTAGCGCCGTGAAACCTCAGCTGGAACAGTTGTGTTTGACCGGGGTGTTAAGTATGCAAGGAGCCGATTTTGGGTGCTGGTTTTTAATCAGCGTTTGCCGTCAAAGGACCCACGAGAGGAGTGATCCGCTGGCGGAGAATGAGAAAGCCGCACGTGTCCGGTTAGCTCAAGGCAGGATTCAGAAAGTACTCACACGTGGGCTTAATGTGGGTCAGTGTGATGCCAGATAGGGTTTAGGGTCAAGTGACTGCATCACTGAAGGGGCACCGTGCTCAAAAAACACCAAACTGCATGTGTGTGAGGTCAGTTATATATAGTGTGTGGCTTTACGCTGATTCCTTGGATTAGACTGCTGATTTTTTTTAAGTTATGCTTCATACGGTCTTTAAGTGTTTTATCATTAGAAGGTTTTTAAAATTAAGGAAATCAAGCCTGGCGTAGTCACTTTCCTGTATTTTAAACTGTTCAAGTTTGAGGTTGGGAATATATTCAGCAGCAAATCTAAACATGGCTGCACTGCATGAGTTTCTCTTTTTCCCCCCATTAGAAGCACTTACACCTAAAAACAGGCTGATACACGAAACACTACACTGGTTATTTTCATTCACTTATTTTATTACGTGTCAAGAAGTGTGACTTGCGGAGCAGCCCAATGCATGCCGTGCTCATGTTGCATTAAGAAAATGAAGCGAATGACCGGCATGATATGCGAGATGTCCAGTATACCGAAGAGCACCTCGCTTGACCGTCGCCGGGCGGCTACAGTGGTGACAGTCGCCGTTATCGTGTTTTTTCGCACCCTAAACTGGGCTGCAGACGCCTGACGGAGGCCTCTCTCCTTTGGCAGGTGCTGCTGGTGAGCAGCAGTCGACATCCAGACCAATGGATCGTGCCGGGAGGAGGAATGGAGCCTGACGAGGAGCCCTGTGGAGCCGCCGTCAGGGAGGTGTACGAAGAGGTGAGCTCAGCCTGCAGACACACAAAGACACTCTTCTTCTTTTGCATTTTTTGGTAGGCCCAGTTTAGCCCATAAAGGTGCATCAAGTTTTTTTTTTATTTCTGGATGTTTTACTATCGATTGCACACAATTTATGTCAGTGCTGAACATTTTTTAACCCTCCTGTTATCTTTGGGGTCAATTTGACCCCATTCAGTGTTTAACGTGTCTAAATAAGTCATAATTAGACATAATTTTTTCTGTTTAATTTAAAGGGTTATTTACACATAAACTTGGGTAACAATTTTCATTATCATATTTTCTGGAGGTTTAAATTGCTGGGGTCAAATTGAACCCAAGGATGAAGGATGCTAGTAAAAATTGAAGGTAATAGGAGGGTCAAAGAGTACTGGATGCATTTAAGTTCATTTATCACATGTGCTTCAAAATATAGGTTCATAATCGTACAAAATGAAAAGCCTTTTTTAAAAACTTGAAACTTGCTTAACATTGGCCATTTTTAAGTGCCGTATTCAACCAAAGAAAATCTTGAAATTGTGCCAACTCCTTAACTAATCGATAGAAATCCGCACATTATCTCTAGATGAACTATCCATCCATTATCTATACACCGCTTAATCCTCACGAGGGTCGTGGGGGGCTGGAGTCTATCCCAGCTGACTCAGGGTGAAGGCAGGGGACACCCTGGACAGGTCACCAGTCTATCACAGGGCTACACAACCAAGCATACTCACATTCACAGCTACGGACAATTTAGAATCACCAATTAACCTTAACATGTTTTTGGACCTTGTTGGAGGAAGCAGCGACCTTCTTGCTGCGAGGAAACAATGCTAACCACTGAGCCACCTTGCAGCCCTACAGATGAACTGAATCAGCCCCAATGCTCTGAATGCACTCTGTCTGTTAGCGTTAGTGTTCATTAGTTAACATACAAAGCTACTATTTGTGGCATTTTAAATCATTTTAATTTTGTTTTATACTGAAATGTATCAACAGACTGTGCAGACCAGTGTCCACCTGCCCACATTCATAGGATTTCTGAACATAAAACTAAACTAACTGATGCTCCCAGCACGAGCACTGTTGAAGGATATAAAATAGACAAGTCAGAATGTTTTCTAGTTGATCTGCCGTGCTGCTTGTTGATATGCCAACTCATATTTACAAAGTTTACAGTCGACTTTTTGGACGTCTGCTTTAATAAAACGAAGCCACACCAATGATTTCTTTGACATGGTGTCAATTAGTTTGGAGATGATTCTGAGTAAACATTAGGTAAATAATTTAGCTCTTTAAGGCTTCATTAGGTTGGGCGAGTTCAAAGTTGTGAAGCAGCAGATTGATTATATGTTCCTCCCACCAAAAATCATGGATTAATCCTGGAAGGCTGTTCATTTATTGCTTTTCTACTTATGGGAGTAACACTGGCGATTGTCCAATGAGGGCCAACCAATCAGCCAGCCCACCTGAACGCTACATCTGTGAAATAGATCAGAAATTATAATTCTGTTCGACCACATGAAGGGAAATTCTCTGTGAGCTCGATGAGTCAGTCACAAGCTCTAAGGTCACAAAGTGAAAGTGGACGATGAACAATAAGTGACAGAGTAAAGCAGATTAATGCTCTTAAAAAGTGTCGTATGGAAGTTGACTTGCAAAGAAGCAGAATTTCCCACAAACACGTGAATGGATCAATACGAAAAGTTTTTAAAAGTCCAGCTCAGGAGTGCATTGTCATGTCAGTGCAGCTTTGGATATAAAAAAAAAATAGTGAGCTAAGACTTCAGTGTGATTTACAGCTGAAGCCTGCAAAACCGCTGATGTGATCCTTTAACCTCATAGACCAGCAAAAGTTGCAGTGTCATCCTAATGAACAGGTCGGAATTGCAAAAAAAAAAAAACGCATGCATCTGCTGTATTCATTTCAGGAGGCTGGTGGCACCGACACAAACGGTCGTAAACGGAGAGTAAATGTACCAAATCATTGCTGGTGTCGTCACGGTTCACAGAGTGAAGCGCTGCTGCTGGTCTGCTGCGAACAGAACGTGGATGAGGGATCGAGCTATTTGGCAATGATGCATAAATGGCCGGTTAATTGTTCTGTGGTTTAGTAAAGTAGGTTGCTGGTTGCTGGCCAGAGTGTTTACAGCGGAGTGAGCTGTGAACTTCTGCCGTGGATAGAAGTGTGCTGACAGCTTTGAAGTATGGCAGTGACATTTGGGAAGGGTTTCCAGTTACCCACATCCTGCGCCTCACGTACCAGACGTGTACCTGGATATAGAAGAGCTGCGAACCGACTGCTGTGCCAAGTTAACAATTAAAATCGTAATGTTTAATCCCCTGCTGTCGAGTTCAACACATCAGCCAAAGATTCATCAATCCTACGAGGCAGTTATGAGTAATTTGGTTAGTTACTTTTGAGTAAGCACCACAGGAACTCTGTGACAGAAGGGCTTTAAAATGTCACTGCTTCCAACATCTTGGAAAACAAACCAACATCTTTAAAGTTTAAATCATGTTAATTTCTGGAATATTAGTATAACAGCTGTGTGAAAGTGCGATTGTCTCGGTCTGTATTTGGGTTCCAGATGTCCTAAATGATCCCGACGGTTCTAAAATGAGAAGACAAGTTTGAAATATGGCTGCACATACCGTCAGTGTCCACTCACTTAGAGCATGCTCCACACCTCATATAGAGGAGGTCCTAATCTTTTGTGCTTGTGATGAAAACGACTGAGATGAAGCTCCTCTACCAGTGACCCATCAGCTCAGGGTGGCGTTTATTTATGAGCTTGAAGAGGCTGACCTCTTCAACTCCCACTTACCTTTGCTCACTGTGGGCTCAGTTTCACTGCAACACAGAGTCCTGCAGCTCTATGGCAACAACACGACTGTGGCTAAGACGTAAAGAGAACTGAAAAATGTCTTCTGTGCAACATCACACAGTTATAAAGCCATAAATTATATAAGAAAATAAAATGGAAGGAAGTTCTTTGACCAGCAATCAACTTTTCCAACTTTTTTTGCCCCAATTTCCCACAAGTGTTGAAAAAAACTGGGGTTCCACATGGTGAAGATATTTTGCTACTTACATTTTAATTTAGTTTTCGTTCTTGTTTCCTATCTGCTCTGTGCAAACACTGCCTGCAGTTCAGCCCAATTCAGCTGGAAAGTCCCTGAATTTTTGCCACATGACTGTTGGCTGCAGCTGAGTCACTGATGGCTTCACGGCTGCGACAAGGAGCGTAAAATTTTTCGTTTTTTTCAAAATCTTGTTACAGCAAATGCTTTGTTTTTAGCAATTTTTTAAACGAGACACATTAAATAAAGTGATTTTGATGAAATATTATGATTATAGGCTCAGATTTGGTTGATTTTCTCTCCGAAACCAAAAGTCACTCATGACAAAAGTTGAAAATCTGATAATTCTTCCTGTTCCTGGCTCTGATTAATGATGTAATTATGGTGATTTTCTTTAAAGACGACATTCCATCAGCAGGTTACGGGGTTCAAAGGGTTAAACTATCCAGTATTTGACAAGAAAAAGAGCAAAGATGACTTAAAATTTAACATAATTTTGTAAAGCTATCTCTATTCTCCCCCACAAATCATCTTGATCTGAACCTATTCGCTCTAAAAGATGGTCTGCATACACGCATGCGAGCTTGTGATGTTTCCAAGTTCGGCGGCGGCGTCCCTCCCCTAAAGTAACTCTGTACCAAACTGTGCATAAGCAGAAATGGATCCGGACTCGTGCATCGTACTCCAGTTGAGCCCCTTTTGTCTCGTCACTCTGTCATTCGCACTATGTTTAGGCCTACCTGGTCATCTCTGCTATGCTGTCTCCTAGGCACGTGGTCGGGAGCCGCTGGGTTTCCTGCCCTAAATTAGAAAAATGTTGACCTGAGAATATCCAAGCACATTAGTACAGAGACAAGCTGTTCTTAATACCAGGCCACGGGCTCTGACTGCGCTGTAGCTGTACGAGCAGCTTGTGCAGTGAAGTTATGTGCTGAAGTAAAACAAAAGTACCGAAAACTGACATTATAAATGCATTTAAACACCTTTGTGTCCTCTTCATGTGTGCAGGCTGGTGTGAAGGGAAAGCTCGGCAGACTACTTGGGATTTTTGAGGTACGTTTATTAAAATATCCCCAAAAATTGCAAGAAAGGAGTCGCTAAAGTCAAGAAGTTGTGCATGCATTGTGTTTGAAACAGTTTATATCAACGATTTAAAGTCAAAATGTCTCCATCTAAACCTTTGCAGCACAATCAGGACAGAAAGCACAGGACGTACGTCTATACCCTCATAGTGACGGAGATGCTGGAGGACTGGGAGGACTCCGTCAACATCGGTACGCCTCTACGTCCCTGTTTGTCGTGTTATGGGTGTTCTTTTTTTTGCCGCAGTCTTCTGTGGTGAAGCAGCTACACACTTGGCCTCAGAAGCTAATATTGGCCCCTGTAGCAGAATAAGTTCTTGTAGGCGTTTGGCGTGATTGTCCACCGGTTTCTGCAGTCAGCTTTTTGGCAATTCTGACCACTTCAGTCAGCTGCCAGATGTTTGAGGGGTTTCATGCATGTACTGCCTGTTTCAAATGTCCCCACAACATTTTAGTGGGATTCAAATCTGGGTTTTAACTAGACCATTTTATAACCCTCCAGTCATTCATTGCTGGGTTTTGCAGATGAAAGCCACCCATTTATAACATTTCCACCAATTTCTAGTCTTTGCCTTTATATTCGTTGTCGAGCTGTAGTTTTGCTTCAATGTTCTTTATGAAAAGCAAAGACTTTTTCCCGGTACACGTACCTTGCAGGCTGAAGAGCGACTTGCACATCCTTTGATAAAATTTTCAGGTGCTTGCCAACATTTTTCAAATTTTAGATTTAAAAAGTTTGTGCTCTGGAGGAGAGTTTAGTCCTGGACAAACTAGCAGCCGTTTCAAATCCAATTGTAGATGATTTCATTTTACAGTGAAATGATTCATTTTAAATACATTGGACATCTTTTTAAACCCCTGGCCAGACCTAAAAGCACTCGCAGCCTTTTTCTCTGAAGGCCTTCGAGCACTCTTTAGGTCTTGGCATGAGATCTAATATTTTTAAACCAGAAGTACCTGCTGATGTTAGACACGTCTCACAAAGAGATCTCAGAGGACTGAGGATCACAAACCCACATCCCTTGTTCTCAGTTGAATTGGTCCTTAAGTGCTTATTGTAGCGAGAGGTGCAACGCTTTTGAAATAAGATAACACGCTTGACCTTTCCAACAACGCAAGCTGCTCGTCTGTGTGCGTCAGCATTAAAATAAAAAAAGATTTTGAATTTCCATCCATTGTAGTCGTGGTTGCAGCTCTGCGTCCAGCTCCGCAACAATATACTCTTGTTCGACTTACTCATGAACTCATAAGGCGTAGATATATGTTAATATCTAGATATGTTATTATCAGTGCAATGATATATTAACATACCACAGAAAGACAGGAAGTGGAGCTTGTTATATAATTGTATTAATGTTCTAAAGGCAAATCAAACTTCTGCAACATTTGATTTGCCGTTTCCCGCTTTCACACTCTCAGATAAATAAGTGATCAAGTCCCTCTCATTTCATCACGTAGGCCTACCGAATGTCAAAATAATCATCCACACTCACCCTTTCTGATGATACTAGTTACAGAGTAATCTAGTTTGAAATGATTTCTGACATTACATCCCACTTTCTATGAAAAACAACATTACATTTATTATCATCTCTGCAGGTAGGATATTGTATGTTAACACTTTATTGACTAATATAATGACATTTATTATTGTTCGGCACTAAGCACATGTTTTCCCCAATTCCTACGTCACAGTGTCAAACCATCATGGCTCTTATACTGACAGATTCCAGACAATCTAACCTACACAGCTATGACAAGATATCTCTACTGCTCGCATTTTTATTGTGAGATATAAATGATAGTACAGTTTTTTCATAAAGGAGAAATCTGCAAGATCTGGATTAGTTTAGACTGACCTTAAAAACACACGCAGCAAAGATGGTCGGCTCTTATGATGACCGAGGGGAGAGCTTAAAATACAAAGGTAGTGAATTTGCCCTGAAAACAGTCGAAGGCTCAGAGAATTAAAGAAAGTGCTGAAGCTCTGTTCAGAAGTTTAACTTCTGAAAAGCATGCATCTGCATTTTTTCCTGTCTGAAGTTTGCCTCCGTACACTCTGCACTGCTGCTCTGTGAACCGATGAAACAAAGGTGGAATTGTTTGTGAAGAACGTGCTGCACTACAAATGGCATAAAAAAGGGGGCGACATACCGACGTCATCCCAGAAGTGAAGTACAGAGGAGTCGGCATCATGACGTGGTGGTGCTTTGGTGCCTCTTGGCCTGGACGGTAAAATGAAGCGCCAACTTTTCAGAGGTATCTTCCAGAATAATGTCAGGGTGGCTGTCTGCCAAGAACAGGCTCAGGAGAAGGTGATTAATGCAACAGGATGGTGACCAAAAACCATCAATCTATAGCAGGATTGATTTGACTTGATGAAAGAAAATCTGCTGTTTTGTAGTGACCCAGTCAGACCTTAACTTTAAATACAGATACTGAGGAATGGATCTGTTCACTCCAGACATCCTGAGAATGTAGCTGAGCTGAAGCAGCTCCATCAGGAAGAACGCCTCCTGAACGTTGTGCTGTTCTGATCCGCAGCCACCAGAAATGTTTGCTCGAGGTTATTGCAGTCGAAGGAGGTTAGATCAGTTCATAAATCCAACAGTTCACTTACTTTTCCCTGAACACAGTGGATGCTTACCTGGTTTATTCAACAAAGACAATCAGATTATTACCAATGAATGCAGAAAACCAGGTAGCTCCAAAAGGTTTCTTTCCATTATTATTACAATCTGATTTTCACCTCAAAATCCAGATATCACATCTTATTATTTGCTCTGAGGGGCTTATTCAAATCGACTGAATGTGAGGCGACCTTTATTTATGCTGTAAAGAGCCTTCGGTGCTCCCAGTCTCATGAGATGTGGTGGACTTCAACAATTTTCTCTACTTAGAATGTAATTAAGCCCCTCAGCCGACTGCAATACGGTAAATTAAAGGATCTCCCTGTGGAGGTTTCCTGCACACAAAGTTTCTGTTTACGTCCAGAGTTTCTCTCGGAAGCACTTGGTTTGTATTCTTGAAGTGTAAGAAATGTCAAAATCGGGACTAAATCCTTCTTAATAAAACACAGACAAAGCCAATTTATAATCTACTGTATATATTTATATAGATATAAAATATGGTAAAAGTTTTAGTGCAACTTGCAATCTTCTTCTTCTTCCTGGCTCTTGCTGATGCTTCTTTGTGTGTTTCTGCCACCAACTGTCGATTGGTGGAATTGCATGAAATATGTGGCATGGATTTGAAAAGTCTCCCTTGCATGCTTAGGATCTGTATGTTTTACTATGAATTCATTATTCAATCAACAAATCCATGCTGCTGCTGCTGGTTTTCACTGCAACATCTGCATCATATGGTTGCATATTATTACATAAATCATACCACTTCTGTGCACCACATTTATTTTAACTGTTCAACTGATTTAATCCATTTTGCCGTCTTTTGGAAGGTAAACATTAGTCGCTCACCGGTCAGAAGTAAAAGTTGAGACAAGGTTCTCGAGCTAGTATTTCAAATTCTGCTTAAAAATGACGTCACTAAAAGTAAATCAATCATCACTTTGTAAACCGAGTAACTGGGACACAAACATTCATCAATGAAGTCCAGGCACTTGACCTGCAGTGTCCACAGTCTTAAAATACTGACAGAAACAATTTGTTTCCTCTCTTAAACTCAGCGTTGGTGTTTTACCGGCTGTTCGGGTCACTACCGCTGGATGCGTCTGCTGCCACACGAGTGATATTTCATTCTGTTTTATTAGCTTCGCTCTCCCAAACACGAGGAGGTGCGCTCCAGAAAACAGAATTCACAGATAAAGTTTAATTGATAATCACGTGATCAATTCCTTTTCCTCTTTTTTTTTGCACGTTCTCTAACATGGATTATGAAAAGGCATGCGATTGTTATTTAAGCGTTATCTTTTAAACCCAGTACTTCTCCAGGGACAAACTAACTCATAACAAGTATTTCTAACTGCTCTGGAAAATGTGGTTGTGATCATTTACTCCCTTCACCCACAGAAATAGAGTTCAGGCCGCTCGGAGGGGGGAGGAATGTTTACTGTGCCCAGTTGTTTTCCAGTTATCATCACTCACCACAGCCCCCCGCCTTATTTGTCCTCTGCTGCCCTGCACAAGGGCTGAGCGGAAAGAGTTTGGCACGACTAGTCTAATTTACTCTCCCCTTCTGCTGAAACGCTGCCGCTGGTGTCCTTCAGAGTGCCGACATAGCGGCGGTGAACTCTCCTCTCGCACCGTCTCCTCATTGTCAAAGGCCACGCAGAATTCCTCCAGCAAATTGCAGTTTGGAGTTGAATGGGATGAGGTTGAATAAAGTATAAATAACTTCCAGCTGACAGTTCACTGGACACGTCGCTTTTATGGAAGGGTTTGGTGACGTGAGGGCTTCATAAACACTAACTGAGGTATGTCCGTTTCCACTCTGACTTTGGTGCTGCAACATGCGCTGCACGGCTTTCTCCCGCCACTCATATTGTGCTTTTCAGGCTATTGTTGCAGTTTGAGCAACAAACTCACCCATCAGTCAGGAAAACAGAAACTTTGACTGTGTCAGCGGCAAATTAATCTTAATCATCATTTCGATTCATTAAAATTAAACCCCATGAGGAAGCACAAGACCAGGATTTTTTTTTTTTTTACCATAAAATATTATACGGTGGTTTGTCTGGTACGTCCAAGAAAACTAAAAAATGATCAGCAATTTCAAGAAACAATTTAAAACTGATTTCAGGGAGCAATTTATCAACCGAAACCAAGACATTTCCCAAAGATTTGATGGCTGACTGGAGAAACACCATCCAGCACATATTTGTAAATGGATGAGAAATTCTTTTTTTTTTGGCTTCTTAACTTATCTTAGTCAAGTTTGTACACTAATTTGATTAAAAGAAAAAGACTGTAAAGGGAAAAAACATCGTAGTGGTACACATTATTATTTATACATCCATGTAGTATTGTCCATTACATACTGATCAGCAGGATGAAGGAGATGGGATCAGAAACACAAGGTCACATGTTAATGCCTAACAATGACCAACATATGAACACAACCAACATCTACATACGTTCTTCTCCCCTTTTGCTATCATTGTATTAGTGTTTTCAAAGCCCCCTTTACTTCAGGAAACAACAACCTCAGAGCTCGTTTCACACTGAAAATGGCAAGTTCTGATGAACCTCTGGATCATGCAATAACGCAGGCTTCTTACTTTGCTCACCTCCCCGTGACCAAATGTTTCCCTGAAACAAATTCCCCTCCAACGCTATTTTACAGGGACACTGGGATCCCGGGATTTCCTCTAAATCCCAAAATGCAGCGGTAGGTTTGTAAGGCATGTTATATTTAAAAAATGACCAAAATTACAACATTTATCAGAGCCTGAAATAGAAGCTAAATTGTTGAATGTTCAACTTTCCAACGGTCCTTGAACTACTCACCTAATTTTGTAAGAACACAAAATCTAGCATAAAATTAATCAAAATTGCTACCGAGGAACCGTAACTGTGGACGGTCATGTGACAAAAATTCAGAGACTATTCAGCTGAACTGGGTTGAACTGGGGCTGCTAGGTGGCTCGGTGGTTAGCACTGTCGCCTCGAAGCAAAAAGGACACCCGGGATCTTTCAGTGTGGAATTTGCATGTTCTCCCCGTGCAGCGTGGGTTCTCTCCGGGTTCTCCGGCTTCCTCCCACACAGTCCAAAAACATGTTGAGGTTAATTGGTGATTCTAAATTGTCCGTAGGTGTGAATGTGAGTGTGCTTGATTGTCTGTCTCTAAGTGTGGCCCTGTGATAGACTGGTGACCTGTCCAGGGTGTCCCCTGCCTTTACCCTGAGTCAGCTGGGATAGACTCCAGCCCCCCATGACCCAAGTGAGGATTAAGCGGTGTATAGATGATGGTTGAACTGCAGGCTGTGTTTATATGGGGGTAACAGATGCAAGTAGGGAAACAAAATAAAGATTTATCTATTAAAAAAGTACCTATGGCATTCTGAGCCACAGTATTGGTGATGCGTTTGGGGAAAATGTAGTACATGTTAATTCCAGGTTTTTTCAAATTTTTAAAAACAAATAGTAAAAGAAATTCAACGTTGGTTTTCTGCTGTTTGCAAGTATATTTGGTGCAGTCGGACCATTCTGTGGATGTTCAGTAGGTCTGACCATGCGAGACAACAAGTCTATCATCAACCATGAGCTGAACAGAAGTGTCTTTTACACAGCAGTGAACCTCCACCTGTTTGTCAGTCTAAACCACATGCAAACAACTCTTCTCGATTGTTCCCGCAGGAAGGAAGAGGAAATGGTTCAAGGTGGACGAAGCCATCAGGGTGCTGCAGAGCCACAAACCCGTCCACGCAGAGTATCTACGCAGACTCACGGACACCTGCAATCCCACCTGCAGCCCGACTAACGGCAACGCCCCGAGCTCCCAAGTGACGGACAACAACGCACCTCACTGCGTCGTCTGCTCCACGCAGGGCTCAGATCTGGTCAACAGATAGGAGCATCACCAGCAGCAGCAGAGAGGACATATGAGCCGAGAAAGACTTTGATCACACGACTAACGCAGCCTCTTCATGTGTACAGTACGAACTTCTTGGAACCGAGTTGAAGCGGGAGTGAAGAAGAGTGCCAAAAAAAATGTTTTCCAAACTGTATTTAAGAGTTTTTATGTGTATTTTTTAACAACCGTCACCAGCTAATAGAGCAAACGCATCTCTTTAAAGCATTCAGCTGTAGATGGATCCTCTCGGTGTGCTGCTTATGCAATCTTTGGGTCCTCTTTAGTCTTACGTGCTGAATATTTGACTGGCAGTGCACACAGTGTGTTGGTGGTTTCCTGGAGGCCGACACTGGGAAGTGTTGGCTCTCAGAGGAAGCCCTTTTCCCACAGTGACTCAGTGCCAAATAATGTCCTTCTGCAAGAAGAGTAGCTACAAGTGTGTGGATCTTTTTATTACAATTCAGCATTTAGTGGATTGTTTTTTTTTTTGTTTGGGAGGGTTAAAACTTTGGGTTATCTTGCTGTAGGTTATGAAGAATTTAGCGTACAGAGAGTTGGGGTAAAGTCTACTTCGATGCAACAAGTGTGAACAGCGTTGCTCCGCCTGTAATTACCACCGTTAAAGTGCACACAGTATCATCTCTAATCACTGGTAACATTGAACTCTGTAATAAAGATTAGGGAGAATATCTGCACACCGCCCACCACGCTGAAACGAAGCCTTAAATAGCCCCGCCTCAGACGTCTAATGAGTATAAAATGTTGTCGGTTTATGGTGTGAAACTGTAAAACTGAGCGAGTTACAGAAGACGTGAGCTTTTCTGTAGTGAAACAAAACAGCAGACAGCCAAAGAAAGACACTAAACACATACTGTATCTGGATCGTATAGCACAGAGGACGTTTCTCAATCGCACATCCTCGGAAGTGCATTTGTGGAGACGATACGGAGGCCTTGGTTTTATAGGAAAGTTTCTTCTGATTCTTTTAAGTGCCTTCACAAACAGTAAATTATGTTTAATCTTCACCTCACAGCATTGACTTGAAGCACTACAAACAGCCTTTTTTTGAAAACAATTTTGTGGGTTGGATCTGAACTGTAGGATGTAAATGTTGGTTTGTTGTTCCACGTGAATGTACAGCGTTTAGAGTGAATTTATTTATTTATGTTTCATTGGGAAATACCCCCCTGTTACCACGGTCGGTGTGTAGACCAGACTTTTTTTTTTTTTTTTTTTTTTAAAAATCTTAAAAAAAAAAAAAAAAAGTGGTGCAAATTAGGTGACAAATTCACAGATTTTGACTGACTGACATAAATGGGAAAGATCACCATTTTTCTAATTGTGCATGTGTGACTGGAATATTCTGCTGTGCACCATTATGTTGTATATAAAACATTTAAATAAATAAAAATTACAGTTCCCACACTGCTGCGGTGTTTTTTGAATAAGAGTGTGACAGTGTTTACTGTTGAATATCGCCAGGCTGTGTCCTCCAGATCAGCCATCCTCTCCATGACCCGCCCATCCGCCGCTGCTGCCTGAGCCTGGTCAGGTGTTCGTTGTTCACACACGTAAACTTTGCGTTTGGACACCCAGATAAAACGGATTTTGCGTCGGGACAAGGACAGTCGAGGCCATGCTCAGACGGATACTTCAAATGGTAAGTTTACGGGACGACAACGCCACCGAGATCGAATGTATTTGGCTAAAGCGAGCCTTTTTCTTTGGGAGACACAGGCCTGTGCATGTCTGGTTTCGTGATGGGGACGCATGTTTTGGGACACAACGTGTCGCTGATGGGCGGGGTTTTCGTTTTTAGCTTACAGGGGATTCCTCATTTGGAACGGTGCCGCCGCCCCGTCATGTCAGAGTCAACATATCAAGCGCTCCTTTGCGTTGGGTTGACACGGCTAGCGGCTAAATGCTAACTGGTTTCAGTTGATTGATGCTACTGTGGACCGGGATGAAGCTAACGTGTGTGTGTATTCAATGCGCCCAACGTGTCCAGCTTTACAGGGTCAGCCGAGTGCGGAACAGCTTAGCTAGCTAACATATTTCACCACTGAAACAGTTTATTTTTATGATTTCCGTTAGCTAGCTACAGTTACAGCGGCAGGTTAATTCATCGTCCACTCATCACATGCTAACGCTGACGTTAGCCACGGACTGAGTGTGGGGAAGTCCGGTGTCAGCTGGCTGACCGCAACATGGACAGAAACACCCATTTTAATTACCCGAGCTTATCCTAATGTTAACGGTGGCATGGCTTAATAAATTGCCTCCTTGTCATTAAAGTTTCAAGGTGGAATAATGAGCACAGATTAGCTATTTAGCTAGCTTCAACGTAGGACTACATTTCCCATAAGGCATTGCTAACCGCATCATTGTGTACACTTTGAAGTCATGGCCTGTTCATCAGGAAAATCATCCAACACACTGAATATGTTTATTTCTGTATAAGATTATCAGACTAGAATCTGTGATTTTAAGGAGACTTTCATGCAAGCGTTTCAACTGAGATAACAGTTTATGTTAATAATTATAGCAGCGGCCCATCACTTATTCACAAAATCCCGTTGCTTTTTAAATTATTTACACCTTGAAACGAAGGGCGCAGATCTTAACATAGGTTAAGGAGACACTCAGTCTGATTAAATGTTTAAAAATATATATATATATATAAATACAACATGCAAATGATTATTTTCACCTTCTTTTTTGACTTAGAGAAAAAGTTCAAAATCTATTTTTGTATTGTACAGTTTGGAAAGGGTTCACAAATCTTCTGCTATTATTCTCCTTAAGTGTTTAACTGGTGACAAATTCTGGACCATCGAGTTAATCCACACCCCCAGTCCAGTGTGGCATTGAAGGACAGTGTTTAGATAGTGTGACCATTAAAAAGACGCTTCTTTGACCCGCGACTGTCACAGGACGCCTTTTTTCAGATGACATAATGCCACAGATGACAAGAGACAGATGACGAGTTGTGGGCGTGCTGAATGCTGGGATGTCAGATAGGGCCTCAGTCAGGCGCTCGAGTGTCCACAACGCCACTGTTTGTCATTAAAGAAACTATTTCAGACACAACAGACGATCTGCCACGTGATCCTTTGGACAGATGTGTCCAACAACATGATCCTGTCTTCCTAAATGTCCACCAACTTTACTAAGCGCTTCAGGAAGAGTGAGACAACACAAACCAACATCGACAACCTTCGTTAACTCGTTGCAGATGTCTGACTTGTTGCTGACATGTATTTTTTATCACTCTCAATGTGTGCATAGTCATTTCCTACAATGCGCTACTTGGTTGTTTCATGACATTCACTTTGTTTTGCCCAACACAAGGTTCTAAAATATAAACTCAGCATGTGATATTGTATTAACTTCTATCCATTCTTTCCTGTTGCAACAACACGAAGCACAACAACATGGACGTGATGAATGTCAACACACGTTTATATTTTTGCTCAGTATAGAAGGTTCATAACTTACATCTGTCCTCCAAGTAAAAGCCAGTTTCGGAACCGACTGACCCCTGACTTATTTCATAATGTGTTTTTCCAACTGAGTCATTTTATGACTACAGACATTCCTCAAGCTGTAGACCGCTTTGCCAAGATAATGATTACAAAGCATTTTATTACCATAGAGCTGCTCTACCACCTTTAACCAATATTTGTAGTTCTGATGGAGGTTCTATCATGTTTTGAGGCTTAACTATGTAATAAATGGGGAACGAGTCGTGTTCATGGGACAAGATAAAGAATCCCTCAACAACAGTAAATCTTTAATGAATCACACCCATGTTGAATTAAATGTAGTGAATTATTTATTTCACCTTTTTTATGGTTAATGTTATTTTTATATAGTGCTGGTTTATGTGTGTAGTTTTTCCTACAAGGGTCATAGGTCGCTCCATGATGCAACGAGCGTTCAACATTTTGTTTGTCAGCCGTCCAACCGCGTCTCAGATGACTGTTCAAAGTGCTCAATCCCCGCCTCCCATAAACAAACCCACACAGGCACACATTTTAACCTCATTCATTCATGCAGACTATCACCTGCCCAAACAAATCCTTTCTGAGTGGACCACTAGTGGTGCTTTCTCCTAATGTGTTTGTGCTTCAGTCAAATGGACTGAGCTGATTTCTGATGACTGCATCTACTTCGGGCTTTTTTCATCCCTCGAACACATCCCTGCTTGCAGTGATCTGAACTAACAGTGCGTTGGTTAATATGAGTTGTAGACTTGCCTGTCACATGACTGGATAGTATTTGTAGTGTCGCGGTAACGTGTGTAAACACTCTAAGCCCGATGTAACCCAGTGAACTACAGCATAGTGACTGTAAAGCTCTTACAATGTTTAACGGTCACAAAGTTGGACTGGAATCTTTGTCCTTTGTTGAATGCAGTTATCTGGAAGATTTAACGGCCTGTTAGACGTTATCCTCGCTTCAATTATATCATAAAGACATTTTCAAATGTATACACAGCATGGCTATTGAGAAGTAACGGTAAGGTCAAGGATGCAAGACAAGTTTAAAGGCAGTCGATATCCTCAACATAAGGTCACTCATAGAGTTACAGCTATAAATCTGTCCTGACCTCAAAAACCATGTGCCTGAGAAGAACACATCGTCCCCGCCGCAAAGCACGACGGTGGCATCATCATACTGTGTGAAATGCTTGTGAATGTACAGAGAATAAATGCTTACAGAGAAATATTGTAATTGCAAGTGAACTGCAGCTTGACAAAGCAATTATTTTCCATCGAGCTCCCAAACAGCAAACCACAACTACACCAAAATGCCATAAAGCAGCAATGTTGGTGTCGAGTCCAGACCTCAATCAAGTCCAGAATATGTGGCTGGGCTTGAAAATGCTGCTGCTCTGGCAGTTCACACACTATTCAATGCAGTTTGACAAAGTTTAAGCAGTTTTGCAATGAAAAATGGGGAACAAGCTGACACAGACGTATCCACATACAGTGAATTATGTCTAATTACTGTCTGCTGTTCATTGTCAGTGAAGTTTAATCACATTCACTCTCAGCTGTCTAATAATTAAACAGGAACAATTTAATGGAGGATTTTACGGACTTGTTACCACATATGACTTAAATATGCAACAGGGGAACACAACATTAGAGGTTAGAGCGTATCGTTCCCACGGTATTTGGTTAAGGCTGATAAGTCACACCGAGCCAGCACAGTTGTTTTTGAGATGTTTGTGTGCCTATTTTCGGGAAAGCCTTGGAAATTTTTATGTAGATGTGAACAATAAGAGTAAAAATCAAAAGCATCAAATCCATGTATGTATATTTTGTACATGTAGCGACTGAATACCTCTGTTATGTAGTGTGATATTAACGAATGGTGCTTTAAAATAATTTGAAAACCGATTAAATCCTGATCCCTGCTACTGTTTAAGTGCTTCTCTCAGGCAACAAGGCCATTTAAACAAATGTATGTGATACACAGAGTGCATCTGTTTACATTCAGACTCATAAAGCCTCATGTTCTGCTCCTCAGACTCCTGGGAAGGGGGGCTCCCAGAATGCAGAGTCAGAGCAGCCCAGCACAGACCTGAACCACGATCAGACGTCTGAGGTAACGTCAATGTCTGGCTTTTCATAACTTTTTTTTTTGTAACCTACACAGTCAACTTAAATTGAAGGTGTTATGATATTTTTTCCCCCCTTATGATGGAATTTCTGTGCGCAGGGCTTCATCTGTCCTCAGTGCATGAAGTCCCACAACTCTGCAGAGGAGCTGTTCAAGCACTATGAGCTGTTCCACGATACGGGAGACCTCCCTGCTCACGTGGCCCCCACTCGGTGAGACTGATACTTACATCCAGGAACACGACTAAATGACTGCCCTCACTTTGCACTTGGTGGGTTTTTATTTCCTCTGTTCTTTCTTCCTAATAGGGAAGACCTTACAATGCTGCGGCAAGAGGTTCAGGACCTGCATGCTTCTCTTAAGGTATAGTCCCTGAACTGTTCGAGTGGTGTGTAAATGTTTATATACAAAGACTTTATTGCACACGTCTGTGTTTCCTCTTGATCAGGAGGAAAGGTGGTTTTCTGGAGAGCTGAAGAAAGAATTAGATAAAGTCCAAGGACAACTGAAGCAAGTAAATCCTTCAAGATATTTAACATGAATTGTAGCAAAGAGGCGGCTTAACTGGTTTATTAGAGAATGATGCCAATGCTTCCTCTTACTGTACATCTTCCTCTTTATTTTACTTGCAGAACGATGGGCCGGTGAGCCCGGAGGATTCAGGTAGGGGATGTTAAAAAATACAAAATACCTGTCAAACTCTTTCCCAAATCATCAGCCTCTAATACGCGGTGTCTTTTCTTTCGTAGCGCTTGAGAGGAAGCTGAACGAAGCGGAGACAGAAAAGTTCAACATCAAACAGATGAAAGACCTGTTTGAGCAGAAGGCTGCCCAGCTGGCCACCGAGATAGTAGGTTAGTGTGGGGCCAAGAAACTGGGAGGTCTGTGTCTGTGGGTCTGCATCGTTTAACAAGCTGAAGTGCTCTTCTGCTAGACCACTGTTCCCCCACAATCCCTCCATTGTGTTTCATCCACTCTTGCACAAGTTGTTGTTCGCTGTTCAGCACAGCCCAAAGAAAGAAATAGTCACATTCTACACTGTGATAATGTTTTCCCTCCAATCACTTAATGATGTGTTTGGGTCGATTTGATTTGCACATTAATTAATTTCATTTTTACATGGTTGAATCTGGCAGACTTGAAGTCCCGCTACGACGAGGAGAAGAGCTTAAGGGAGGCTGCAGACCAGAGGTTTGCCAAACTGAACGAACAACTGCAGAAAGAGAAGCAGGAGAACGAGAGACTGCAAACAGAACTGGTACTGGAGTTATTGTGACTTCTGTCTCATTGACTTTTGGGTGGTTTAGTCTAAACAAATATGTAGTTAACATTCAACGTCTTCAAGAGAGTGATTCTTCAGTGTTTGAAAAAGTGACAATCAAGTAATGTTGCTCAGATTCCCTGAGCTTTCACACCCAACATGTAACTCACCTGATCTCGCCCCGAGTCAACCTCCAAACAGACCCTGAAATAGATCGTTGCCTTGTGTGCTTGGGTGCACAAAATCCCCCACTTCATCAAACACATAGGCTCAAATGTACTTAAGTACGAGTAGAAAGTGTAGCAGCACTTCAAGTTGGTATTAATATTTATTCTTTTTTAAGTCGTGAATGTTGCTCATCAGAGTTTGCATTGGTTTTGGTTTTGACCTTGGTTTTGGTTGTGTTGTGTTGCTTTTTTCCTTTGGCAATTTTGGTTTTTTTTTTAAACCTTCTGTTGATGTTTCCTGTGCTATGGTTTGATAAATTAACGTTGGATTTATTGTGATGACGACAGCGCGCTTGTGCAAGTATGCATGCCTGTTGACTCGCATAAACAACCAAGCAGCTGAACCATTTCTAAGGAAACACTTTTGATTATCCCAAAACATCTTTTGCTAAATTTTTTTTCCACCCAGTCCCTCCACCTGATTAACACTCTGCTCTGCCCCCTAGCTGCAGCGACCGGGAGTTGAGGATGTGGAGGTTCTGCAGAAAGAGCTGGTGCAGGTGCAGACGCTAATGGACCGTATGACACGAGAGAGGGAGGAGGAGTCCGAACGCCTCAAAAACCATTACGAACAGCTGCAGGCTAATTACGCTACCTCAGAGGTGAGGAGGCCACGATGTGTCACAGCATAAGCAGCCATTCCCAAATTTGTCCTGTCACAAGCATGTTAACAGATTTTAATATTCACATTCAAAAAACAACTCTGGAAACGGTTATGAAATAGATCCAATGTTCAGTAGTTATATCACACCAGATGGCTTTGTACCTAATTCAGCCATTAATTAATTCCTGGTGAATAATTCAGTCTTATTTCCTGCATTATGATCTCAGAAGGAGAGGAATATTTATAAGGCTCCGTTGAGCAGCCCCAGGACACAACCTCTCTGTCTGCAAATGATCTTAAAAGGAAAACTTTACACACCGAGGAACCACATTGTGAATAGATTTGAGCGTCTGGTCTCTGATTACATAATGGTTCTCACTTATAATTAACAAGTGGTGTTATTGCAGTCTGTGAACTGTGTGAGACAGTAACTGTCATTCACTGGGTTTAAGTATGAGCACGGCTTTTGCTGTCAGCAGCCAGCGATGTGTTAACATTATGTCTAAACAAAACAAGAGGTGACGTTATATTCAGGCTGGTGCGTTGTCTGCTGCTGCAACAGTGCAAAGAAGAAACACATGAAGTGCATGAAGTGTTCTAGTAAAACTCACTCATCATTTACTCTCTCAGTCCAGCAGCTCGTGTTGCAGATGTGCTGCTTGTTGTTGTTGTTGTTTCATGACTTACCTTTGTCCCTGTGTCTCTTTCCCTTCCCTTCTTTCCTGCTTCTCACACACTGTATCCCTCCGCAACACTCACAATACTCAAGATTCGTAAACTGGAGGTAAACCACGCCGTTTGAAGTTGGCCCCAAATTTAGTTTCATCTTTTGGACTTTTGCTTTGAGTTTCACAATTTTATATTCTTTCTTTAACAGTTCTTACCTCTTTTTTTTCTTTCAATTTTTCTTCTTGAGTTTTTGTGCAAGTGAAGCCTGGTTGTTCCTAATCAGTGTTGTTTTTGATTTCTGTCGTGTCAGACCTTCCCGCTTCAGTTTCTTGAATATACACTCAGTCCCCTTCAGAGAGTTGAACCTGTGTGTGTCTAATGTATTACAGACGACCATATCCCAACTAAAGGCAGAGCTGGAGAAAGGCCCGCAGGAAGCAGCCGTCTACACGCAACAGATCCACCAGCTGCAGAGCAATCTGAATAATTTGCAGCAGCAAAGTCAGGTAACACATCCACAGCACCAGCAGCAGCACCGAACGACTACAGCTGTTAGAGCCACGTGACGGTTTTCTGATTCTGGGCACAAACACGCCTGCCATGACACCTGTTGCACAATAAGAATGTGTAGGATTTAATTTTACTACAGTAATGTTAACGAGCCGTACCAGCTGCCATGCAAGTACAGGGCACGCCATCTGAGTTTCTGTAAACCCTCCTCCGTTGCTCAGCATCAGGTCGTATCACAATGCCCCGCTGTCACCAACTGTCTTTGGCAACCGAGACATGTTGACAAAAATCACACGCAACACTATAATTAAACCAGCAGGGGGATCGCGGCGCTGCCAGCTCCATCACTGGGGGTGAAATACAATCACAGGTAGCAGCGTCGGTGCAGTGGGAACTGGAGAATGTAGCACAGGAGTCCTGCCAGAGATTAAATCTTCCCACATCAGATGGGCCAGTCGCCTCCCGGCCAAGTGGGTTTCCGGGTAAGAGGGGGATTACAGGAGTGGATCTCCAGAGCGGAGCCCCGGCCCGGCCCGGCGCGTCTCCTCGCAACAGGACACTCTGAGAGCTGATACAGGGACTCATCTCATGAGAATAGACACAGAAATGCTGGAACAGATAGTGAGACACAAAGGATCAGGACTAAGGACAGACAGGTGAACAGCCAACAGGGGTTTCATTGGTCAGTAACTCCAGGATTAGAAAGGAGAGACACGGCACGGAGCTGTGACGATGACACAAGAGAGGAGCATAAACAATTCATAGAGAAGGAGAGGGAGGAACGAAAGATTACTGGGAAAACAGAAAGTCTCTATAGTCAGTTGTTAATGTTCGTCAGCTGCTGCGGCGGCCTGCAGAGGTTTATTGGATGTCTGTGAAGTCCAGGTGCCCTGTCACAGTCCCTAGTTAGCAGCACGCTCTCCTATTAACAACGTTTTGTTCTTTGACACCCTGTTGCCAAGTTTACTGCCAGAGCTTAGACCAGGGCAAGTACTGTACAGTCGTGTGTCGTAAACTGTCCTCTAGAAGTGGCATACCACGCTTTATTCCTGACTCTTTGACAGGCGACTGTTCTTTTCCATTGCTCGTATCTCATGGGATGTGGGTGTTCAGGACCTGTTGCAGCGCCCTATCACGCCAACTGTTTTAATTTAGAAATGACAAATGGTCCATGTTCCAGGGTGGCTTAATTAGTGAGTCTCACAATTTCTGATTAACCTCTCAAATGTTGTTAATCTTCAGCCTTTTTTAATGAGAACTTACTCCCTCAATAAGCAAAAAAAAGACTGATTTTACTTGCCATCGTTTTATTTTTCACAAATGCACTCTCTGGCTATCTCTCCTATTCATGAACCGCTTTCACCTCCATAATTCCCAAATTTCCGGCCAGAAAGTGCACACCAGCCTCATGTTTTCTTGTGTTCTTCTCCCAGAACCTGTCTGAAAAGCTTGCACGTAAGGAAAAGGAGTATCAAGAACTGGAGGGGCATCTGGGAGCTGAGAAAACTGCCAAGAAGGGAGTCCAAGACAGCCTCAGGGAGAGGGATTTGGAGGTTCAAGAGCTCCAGGCTCGAGCCACGGGGGCTGAGGCCTCTCTGCAGAAGGCCCAGACGGAGCTCACAGAGAGGGCGGAGGATGTGGCGAAGCTGAAGAGCGAGATCGCCGAGCTGGAGGTGAAGCACGCAGAGCTGAAGGTTGAGAGGAAACAGTTGGAACAGCAGAGGGAAGAGAAGGAAAGCCAAGGTGCTCAGCAGCAGACGGAGATCAGTCAGGTGAGTGAGGCAGAGAAAGGACCCACGTGGTCGATCGTATGCAGAGGGACAGAACCACTGATATGCAGAAGAATGACCACAATAAACAACCTCATGTTCAGCCACAGCAAACTGTCAGAACATCTTCAGTGCAGCTCGATTCTACAGGCTTCTAAACTCTAACGGATGATTTATTTGGTGCCTGATTTGGATTTAGATGTGGTGACAGTGAGGGTTATATCAAAGGATTTATGTCTTTTGATGCTATGGCGCTCTGTCTCTATGTATATATATATATACACTATATACATCAAACTATTCACACGCCTCATTGATGAGGACATCCTGGAAAAAGGGCACACACCTCTGGATCATCACAGGATCAAGGAGATTTAGACAGCCCATCAATCTCCACTGACCCTTCTCTGTGAGGGGACAAGTCACATGTCAGCGAGCATGATAAGCCGTTAATGGTTTTATTATATCCTGTTTTTCATCTGCATGAAAGTGCCCGCGCGTGTTGTGTCTCTCCAGTCGTTTTAGCAAATATTTACTTCAATTTGTCATCCATCTGCGTGGTATTTTAACATGGGTCGTAAAGTTTTGCCAAATGAAGCAGAAATCTTGCGTCATTGGCTATCGGTACCTCTGCAGTGAATTAGAAAAACAATGCATTTTAGATTGTGTGTTGCATTTGTCACTAATTATTTTTTTTAATAATATGAAATACAGTTGAATTGAAATTCTGAGCCATGTGATTGATTAATCCATTTGTAAACTGTGAATACATGGTGGTTGATATCCTGAAGGAGTCCTTTATAAAGGCAGGAATTTGATTACATTATTCAAAACTGCATTTATTTAATCATGGCACACACTGATGAAACGTGATTTATGCTGTATGACATTGTGATGGTCACCCATTAAGAATTCTATCTGGAGAACACGTTGACAGAAGCTCATACAAACCCTTAAGGACATTGGTTTAGAAGGAAGCAGAAGTAATTTCCATTAACAAATGTTGTGCGCTGCTCTGTTACAAAACCAAAGTCAAAGATATATCCACATATCTGTTTTCCTCGTGTAAGTATCTGCTGTATTTCTTGCCTTCACCGCCGTCTCCGCGCTCTTTTAGCTGCACACTAAACTGCTGGAGGCAGAGAGGCAGCTGGGCGAGGTGCAAGGTCGACTGAAAGAACAGAGGCAGCTGTCTGGGGAGAAGCTAAAGGACCGCGAGCAGCAAGCAGCCGACCAGCAGCTCAAACTCTCCCGAGCGGAAGAACAGGTAGGCATCTGCTGAAACTTTAATGATCGCTGCGGGGGGAACAAAATTAACGTTATAGAACAGACCTCAGAACATCTGTACATAGATGTATCTGATGCTTATGAGCGTACTGGGAGAAATAATGTACAACGTGCCAGTAAGATATGTAGATGTAGTTAATGTTTGTTTATTGGGCTAAAACTGAGGAGCAGGGTGAATAAAACACAGGGGAGGCAACGCTGAGGAAAAAGAAGATCTCTGAAAAATTTCCTAAACAAGATAAAAGCGTTGAAGAGATTTATGGAGCCGCTGTAGAACGATGATACAGAAAGCACGAGATGCTGGAACGACAATGACATTACCACAGTGTGTGATTAAAAGGGGGGAGAGTAGAATAAAATAGATAACAATCCTTCTGTTTTGTATCAGTTGAAGGAAAACGCCAGTAAGAACACAGACCTGCAGCACCAGCTGGAGAAAGCCAAGCAGCAGCACCAGGAGCTGCAGGCGCTGCAGCAAAACACCAACGGCAAACTCCGCGAGGCACAGGTACCGCTGAACCTTTACATCTCAAGCATTGACAGTAATATTGGTGAGAAGAGTTCACATGTTTACAGTATTTGTTAACAAGTCACTGCCTCACAAAAGTTCATATGTTTACAGTCTTTACTAACAAGTCATTGCCTCACAAACTCCAGTTCTGTGTACTCCAGGAGCCAAGCAACGACATTTCGTTGCCAGATTCACGATTGTGTTTTTGTGCAATGACAATAAAGAAAGTCCAAGAGAGCCAAGAGACACAAGATTTAGTTTATGGAACAATAACACAATCCTCTGCACTGCTTATTGTCCCTTCACCGTGTCCACAAGTGTTTACACAACATAACCCCAACATGAAAAGGCTTTCAGAATTAAGATTCCGGGCACAATACCAAATATACTCTTGTCTGATGCTGTAGAACGATCTGGAGCAGGTGCTGCGTCAGATTGGGGATAAAGACCAGAAGATACAGAACCTAGAGGCTCTGCTTCAGAAGAGTAAAGACATTGTGAGTCAGCTGGAAGCAGAGAGAGAGGACTTGTGTGCCAAGATCCAGGCCGGGGAGGGAGAGACGGCTGTCCTTAACCAACTAAAGGAGAAAAACCACGCACTGCAAGAACAGGTGGATGCACACCTTTATCCCATGTTGCTTCACTTCACTTTCATACCTGCAGTGTTGATTTAAAAAATTGGCATCATTTAGAGCAGCTTTGTTGTCATCGTCTGAGCTTACAACCCTCTGTTTGTATTGAAGGTGACACAGTTGACAGACAAGCTGAAGAACCAATCAGAGAGCAACAAACAAGCGCAGGACAACCTCCACAAGCAGGTCCAGGAGCAGAAGACTCTGCTGCGTTCAGCCCAGGACCGAGCTCACACCCTGGAGACCTCAGTCACTGAACTCACCGCCCAGCTCACAGACAGCAAGGACAAAGTCTCCCAGCTGGACGCTCAGGTAAGCCCCTAACAAAGCATGCACGGCGTCTCAGAGACTGTGATGGAGGGGCTGAGCCAGACACAGTAAGGTCTACAGGTTTAGTCGTGAGAATAACATTTTTTCTTTTTCTTTAGCTGAAGGCAAAGACAGAGCTGCTGCTGTCTGCAGAGGCCGCCAAGGCAGCACAGAAGGCCAACCTGGAGAACAACCTGGAGACGGCTCAACATGCACTACAGGACAAACAGCAGGTTAGCTTCCCCCGTTGCACCGCTGCTGTTGAAATCTACCTCAGAGGCGCCGCTGTTTCCTTTGTAATACACTAGAATTCATTCGTTTGAAAATAGAAACAGTGAAGCAAGTCACTCCCTGACATCTGTTGTGTTGTTTTACCTCCTCACCTTTGTATCACTGTTATCCTGCAACCCCCCTCCCCTTTGCTGTCTGGTGTAGGAGCTGAATAAAGTTCAGAAGAAGCTGGAGGAGCAGGCCCAAAGACTCAAGGAGAGACATGAGCAGTGCACTCAGCTGGAAACCAGTCTGAAGGAATGTAAAGACAAACTGTTGGCCTCAGAACAGCGTATAGAGCAGCTGGAGGGGCTCAATAAGGTTTGTGTTGCGTGTGCGATTGTAAGAGAATCACTTCAGGCCTTTATTTTTACTGCCTCTGATGCTTTGAGTATGCGCTAGTGGATTGTAATGAGTTAACGTGGTGTCTCAATCTGACAGAAATTGGAGTCACAGGTAGGCGAGGTGCAGACCACACGAGACCAGGCTCAGCAGGAAGTTCAGAAGCTGCAAAAAGAGAGTTCGGAGGTCAAACGGAAAGCCAAGGAGCTGCAGCGCTCAGTGGAGACTGAGAAAGCAGGGTGAGACACCTTACTGCTGTGTCAGCTTTGATAAATACGTCAGGGATACGCTTCGGTATTTTGCTGAAGTTATGTGTGAGGACTCTTGTTTCGTTGTGTTTTATTGAATAACCTCTAACAGAATGTCTTTTCTCTGCTAAAGGGCTGCAAATCTGCAAGAGGAATTAAAGAAAAAGGCATCCGCTCTGAGCGACGTTCAGCAGCAGCTGGAGCGCTGTGAGAAAGAGATAGTCGCTCTCAAGGTTAACGTGGACAAGGTGACTCAGGAGGGAAAGACTCAGCATGCAGAGCTGGACAGGAAAGCTCAGGGTCTGGCAGCAGACCTACAAAAAGCCCAGCAGGAGAAAGAGGCTCAAAGGAAGGAGCTTGTCTCTGCTCAGGAGAGTCTAGGAAAGACTAATAAGGCACTGAAAGAAAGTCAGAGTCAGCTGGATACTGAGAAGAAGAACCATAAATCAGCCATGGAGGAGAAGGTAGGTTCATTAACATGCGGCGTGCATCAAATGCTGCTGTTGTTCTGCTTTTCTACTTTGGAGATTTGTCCTGCAAGACGGCATAAGAAGTAGCCACCGATTTACAATACCAAGCCGTCAGCCACAACACTAATCTGTCTTAATCCCCAGGAAAAATCAAACGAAAAAGCAAGACAGGAGCTTCTCAAAAATAACGATGCCACCACCAAGGCAATGAAAGAATCTAAAGAGCAGCTGGAGCAGATGAGAGAGGTAAGCCTGTGAGAAGAAAAAAAATGGAAGATCAAACATCATTGTTTTGAATCCGACACTCAAACGTCTGATGTGTGTCTGAAACTGTCAGGCAGAGAAAAAGTTGAAAGTGCAGCTGACATCATTCGAACAGCAACACTCAAAGACTCAGGGGACACTGAAGGAAAAGGAGAACGAGTTGGAGAAGCTGCGGGCACAACTAAAGACGACCCAGGGGTCCTTGGAGGAGGAGGTGAAGAAACTGAAGAGCCAAGTCGTACAGTTACAAGAAGTCGGAGTCAAGAAAGTAAGCAGCGTTTCCAGCTACGAATACAGACGTGCATTTTGTGTTATTGACTTCATTTTCCACTGAGTTGTTGTGAAGCAATTTGAATGTTGATGATCATCTTCAAACCTCAGATATGTATTTATGAATTTCTATGTTTGACTCTTGTCTACAGGCAGAGGAGGAGAGTAAGCTGAAGGCCCAGGTGTCCGGGCTCGGCCAGGAGTTGAGCTCAGAGAAGAGCCGGACGGCAGAGCTGCAGAAGGCCTTGGAGCAAAGCAAGGAAAGCCTCACCAAGCTTCAGTCCGACTTCTACGGAAAGGAGTCCGAGGTTTCTGCCCTGCGTCAAGACCTTAAGGTGCGTCAACACAGGACAGGCTGGAGGAATATGTTGTATTTTAGTTTATTTTAATAAGTTCATGTTGACTGTGGGAGAAGCTGTGGTAATGCATCATTTTCTGGGTTAACACTCAGAAATGTTTTGGATAAATGCAAACAAATGAATAAAATGTTGTTCACGTTTTAGTGGTTTCTCTCTGGACCCTCCTAAATGACTGAATCGTAAACTTTTTCTGACTGTAGGCATCACAGGAGAAAGTGAGCCTGGCCCAGGAGGAGCTGGCTGCTAATCGAACCCACCAGACGGGTTTAGAGGCTCAGATCCAGGAGCTGAAAACGGGCCGGGGCTCGTTGGAGCAGGAGCTCGCCAAACGAGACCAGAAGCTCCAGCAGCAGGAACAAACCCTGAAGGATCTACAGAAGCAAAAGGTTCGACTAGTTAGTAACTCCTGAACATTCAAAGTTACGCAACTTGATATTATCGCTCTGATATATTTTGAATTGTGCCGACTCATTCAGGGTCAAGTTAAGGAGGAACTGGAGAAGGAGAAGAGCAACATGGAGGAGCTGAACAAAGCCAAGAGCGTTCTGGAAAAGAACAACACCAGACTGACTTCGGAGTTAAAAACACTAAAAGAGAAGAGCGAGAAGGTCGGTCACTTTTCGTAACTAGCAACAACTTTCTGTAAAACAACTCTGAGCAAGTGAAAAGAGAGAGGAAGTGCTGCACCTGAGAAACATTCAAGCTTCAAACGCTGACCTTGATTTTATTTCCCACACTGGCTGACATGACCGACTTCCCATGCTTGTGTCTTATGTAAACAGCTTAACTCGGGGATACAGCAGCGCCACATTCTTCAGAGTCACAACCAAGCATGCCTGAGTTGACATTTAGACATGAGCCTGGATTTTTGAGTTCGTCTAATCTGTCTTCAAGTTTGTCAGAGTGATAACCGCTCAAGCATTCTAAAAGTTAACCCCTTCTGCCATCTCCAGACAGGAGTCGCTGCTTTTTCTTTTCAGAGATTCTACGTGTGCCTTCAGTGGCTTTTTGTATTCTCTTTTATCCATTGACTTATTTGTTTTCAGGAGCTGGTTGAGCTGCGGGAAGCCAAACAGCTGTTGATCCAGCAGAAGCTGGAGCTGCAGGGTCAGGTGGAGGCGGCGCAGGGGGCCCTCAAGCAGGAGCAGAAGGAGCATCAGTCCACCAAGGACAGCAGGAGCCAGAGAGAGGAGCAGCTCCTCGCCCAAACCAAGGATGTCCAGGATCAGTTGGTAGGCAGATCCTAACAAATCTTCGTAGCTCGTTGTCATTCTGTTCCTCTGACGGTCAATCCTTTCCTCCACAGGCGGCGGAGAAGCGAGCCAGAGAAGAGCAGGTGAAGCGTGGGGAGGAGGCGGAAGCTAAGATGGGCGTGCAGGTGACGGCTCTGAATGAGAACGTGGCCACGTTGAAGAGGGAATGGCAGGGCAGCCAGAGGAGAGTCAGTGAGCTGGAGAAACAGACGGATGAGCTGAGAGGGGAGATCGCCGTGCTGGAGGCCACCGTCCAGAACAACCAGGACGAGCGACGGGCTCTCCTGGAAAGGTTAGTGGATGTCGTGTTCCCTTCAGAAAATACCTCTTTGTTTCAAAAATATACAGTAAAGCTGGAAAGGTTTTGTAATGTGCTTAAAGGGCCTCAATGCTCAGAGTCAGCTTTTGAAAAGAAAAGTAGATTAGGCGGGTTTTCGCTGCACATGTGCTTCTCAGACGGCCGCAGACCTCCGAGGTCAGCAGGACTTTATTATGTTGAACTTTTCAAGAATGAGGCTGTTCCAGTGTGTCGGAGACATCTGTTTGGAACAAGCACAAGCCCCCAGTTCCAAGAAAAAAGACAATTAGGCGGCATTAAATTTAATTTGGTTAATACACTGATTAAATTATTATAAGGCCTATTATAAGACCGTCGACATCATAACGTTCTAATCCTGAGCTGCTGGAAATTGCTTCAGGGACATTTTGTCCCCAACTTCAAATTCACTCATTTACAGTCTTAATTTTTTAAGAGAATTTCATTTTATTCTGCATAGCAAATGCTAATTAAATGTTAAATTCATTATATATTAAATGGCCTAGAAAGCACTGATGCAAAATACCACGGCGGCAAAACCACACAGGGAAGGGAAAATGCTGGATAACAGTCATTATGATGTAGAGAGCAGAACATGAATCGTTTTCCTGACAGTTAAATGAGTGATGCAGATTCTCAACTCAGGCAATACGTGATATTTACACACCTGTGGAAACACACACACGAGCAGTACCACAGAATGAGGGCCGTGCATTTACAGTTAACTGTCACAAGAACCTACAAGCTGTCAGTTGAAGAAGCGGAAAATTCATGAAAAACGTTTTTGTGCTTTGCTCTGTTTTACACTGCAGCTAATAAAAGACACAAAATTGATTGATCTGTTGGTGTTTATCACAGAAAATATTCAGTCAATAACACATGTTTTCCTTTAATTTGGCAAAAAGCTAAAATGATTTCCTGGTATCCTGTGTTATGGGTCAGTGTCCGACCTGATAACACTAAGGTCTGATCTGTCATGATAGAAATACACGGCTGCATCGGGAGTGCCCTGAGTGGTAAAATAAATAGAATTCTTTACAATAAACTGTTTTCTACCAACATTTTTCTGTTTGCAATAACTTTTTAACTGTAATACATTTTTATATTCCTCATATCTCTCTATTTTAACAACCTTTTGACTGCAGTAGACATCACATGATCTGTCCACTCGGTATGGAAGAAGAGGAAAATGATGCATCAACCACCCTCTGATTAAGGAAATCTGGGTTAACAATAAAAAAGTTGCTGCATGGCGTGTTAGGTTTTGTCGAGCCAGATTGTCTGAGTTAAACTTACTTCGTAGCACTCTTCCAAATCTGAACAGCAGAAAAGTACTGACACACATCTGGTTTGGGGAAACTCCACCCTGTCCACATACTGTAGATGTCAGAGTGATGACTGAACCCTGATGTGTTCCTTCATCATGTACTCCTTCTCCTCCACTTGTAAGCTGACAGGTGACACCTAAAAACATGCATTAGCTCAGACCTGTCGGCGACTAAATACTGAAGTAGAAAACTGCTTAAAAGTCTGCGTGTTTATTTGATGTGTGAGCAAATATGCATGGAAGTGATTCAGTGTGCTTATTCTAAATGAAATGAGCTGTGAACTGTACATCTGAGCACTACGGTAGAACAGAGTCAATGAAAACACCGTCAGTGTTTTGCATAATTAACATGTTTATTATGCAGCCAGCTAAGTAGTGAGAGTCAATTAGCTGGAGCCGCTAATTCCCACGAACACGTACGAATCCTCAGCGCTCTGCGGTTGTGTTCCAGGTGTGTGAAGGGCGAGGGCGAGATCGAGAAACTGCAGGCCAAAGTGGTGGAGCTGAGGAGGAAACTGGACGACACGACGGCCGCCATGCAGGAGCTGGGCAGAGAGAACCAGTCGCTTCAGGTCAGCTGTGAAACTTGGAGATGCTGACAAACTGCAAAACGGCTGCTTTCCATGAAGTTCTGATCGTGTCTCTTGTCCTTTTAGATCAAGCAGTCGCAAAGTCTGACCAGAAAGTGGGCCGAGGACCACGAGGTGCAGAACTGCATGGCCTGTGGGAAAGGCTTCACCGTCACTGTCAGGAAGGTGAGTTTTCTGGAAGGTTTTTTACAGACAACTAAACATGTTTTGTCTCAGTAATAACGTCCTACCTCGTCTCTTTCTTCCTCTGCAGCACCACTGCAGACATTGTGGAAACATTTTCTGCGCAGAGTGTTCGTCTAGGAACGCCCTCACGCCGTCCTCTAAAAAGCCAGTACGGGTGTGCGAGACGTGCTTCGAGGAGCTCCAAGGCTGATTCTTTTCCACTCATCCCTTTAACCTCCCCTCCCTTAAACCTCCCCTTCACCCTCTTCCCCCCCCATCCCTTTCTATTCCAGCGGGCAGAAGAAGGCATGTCTTTGTCATTTTTTAAATGTGCACTATAAAGGACAGACCCAGTGCAAAGATTCCCACCTGCACGCGATTTCCAGCTCCGGTGTGGAGGCAAATAACTGAAGGTATTTACTGAGGAGACACCGGAGCCGTATGAGGGGGGACGGGGTGGGATCGGTTGGGATTGTCTGTATCTGTTTTTGTGCCTTTGCTACTCCTGTGGACTGCCAGAGAGCGGAGACAGAGATCATCACCCGTCTCTTTTTAAGTTCATCTTCACATCTCCATCGTCGTTTTTGGTTGTGAGGTGGTTGCTTTGCACGTTGTTGAAAGGTTTGGCATCAGGTGGAGGGTCGGTGTGAGAGAACTTCTGCCCCACAAAGTTAATGCGAGTAACTTGTTGTCTGTGTGTAACTCAATCCGATCGCAACGTACGTTTTGATTTTTAAAGCAAGAAAGTTCTGATAATCTGGAGGTGCAGCAGTAGTTTTATGTGGTTTCTCAACTTAACTGATGAGTTCAGTTTGTTCATTTGACTCCAAACAAGATTTGTTAGTTTATCAGCTGATTATTTTTGATGTTTTGTACAAGATCTCATAAAGAAGAGATTTTAAATTTTCAGAAATGTGCATCAAGTTTTCTTATTCACATTCGTAAACGGCACTATTTCAGTAGAACTCTGTGCTGTACGGTGAAATAATTCCAGTTTTAGGTTCAACAATCCAGTCGATTTGTGCACCAGCTACCTTCTATACACAAAGTCAGATCCGTTACTGCGTGTTTCCTTTGTGCGGCAGAGCGTCGGTGAATCCGTAACAAGTATTCAGCCTATTTCATGACCAAAGAATGTCCGCAGCAGGAAAACGGTTCGAGGCGAAAAGCCTTGAGCTCGTTTCACATTTCAGTGTTTTTTCAAAGTGTCGTCTGAAAAGCTTTTGAGTTTTCAATCACAGGGTCTGACGTTTTTATCTCGAAAACAGCATTTATGGCGATCGGAGAGGCTTTTTTTTAATGTACAGTTGTTGTTTTTTGTGCCACATTTCTCTTTGTGTGTTATTTTCTACAAATCGTGGTGCTTTCCGCAGACTGGTGATGCAGTCATTGAAGGTGCCTGCATGTTTTTTTTTGTTTTTTTTCCTGCTGCTTGTCTCCACTTAACAGCACTGACTATACTGCTGTAGCTGTGTGTGTGTGTGTGTGCGCGTGTGTGTGCTTCGAAGCAATAACCGTGGCTGTGTGTGAAGTTGCCGTAACAAGAGTGTGTGTGTTTTAGAGTTTAGGCCTGCTGCTGCTGCCGCCGCCGCTGCTGCTGCTGCGTGTGCCGAGATGCACTGTATGTATGAATGAATGAATGTCAGCTGCTCAGAACCTCAGTATCTCTCTGGCACGTTGTTCGGGGGACTTCGTTGCTGCTTTCAGGTACAGCGGTTACTGTCGGTTCTCTGTCCAACTGGCCCGCAGCTGAGAACACTGTAGAAGCTCATTCGTTTAGTTTTGTAGCCGTCGACAGATACCGGTGGGATCTCTTGTGCAATTGTCAGTAGACTGGAGCAGGTGACGACACTGTAAGCCAGGCGACAGCAAAGCAGCTCGTTTCAGGCAAATTCGGTCTCTTGTGCTTGTTTGCTGGTTACAAAACAATGTCAGTTGCAATCTCTCAAAAGAACGCCTGTCTCTCTCTCTCTCTCTCTCTCTCTCTTTGTTATTTTATTTTATTTAGCATCGCATTGGTTTTGTTATGTCTACCTCAGATTGGCACAGGAAAAGCACTATTTCTAAATGATAGAAATCACAAATGTGGCATCTTTGCCGGCATTTGATTAAGGATTTGTGAGCGATCTATCATGTTGTACAGTCCCTGAAATCTAAGAGAGATGATTTGCACCTTATCGTATTCTGGGCTCGTCTGTATGAGCAGCCAGCCACAAACGTAGGACCACCAACTTTATACAGGCTTCAGCATTTCTAGCCCCAAATGTACTTAACTGCTCATTAATACTAAGGCTGTCATAATTATCTTTGTAAATGTTTGTAATGAAAGAGAAAAATGAAATATATAACACTTGTGGATGTAGAACCATGACAACAGTGAAACCGTGTGGATTCATCAGTGTCTTACTCATTTTTACAAAATGGCACCACAGACGTGTACACACTGAATTGTGGCTTGCTTCGTGTTGCTGTCAGTTATCATGCATGATGACTTAACTGGCCTGTGGCTCACACGTTTTTTCCTCCATGTTTAGTCATCATTTTTTTGGTGGTTTGTGAAGGTGTGCCTTAGGCCAACATCCTGCACGTCACCGCCGGCCGTCGGCGGTGACTCTGCACCATGTTATCACCGGAGTCAGCGTGACTTCAGCTCAGCTGAACGGACAAGAGAAGTAATTTATGTTCACATGCACCAGTTGATTTTCTAATTCATTGTTATGACAAAACCTAAATAAAACCTACGGTATGTTTCTACTTTCTTGGGTTATGTCTTTGTTTGCATGCAAAGGAAAGGCTTTTGAAGTTTATTAAAGCTTCTGACAATTGAACCTAACTTTTATATTTTTG